GAGGGACATCATGCTGGGCAGAGTGGAGGGACAGCGCAGGAGGGGAAGACCCTCTATGAGGTGGATTGATTCAGTGACTGGGGTAATCGGGATGGATGTGTAAGAGGCAGTTAGATTGGCACAGGACAGAGCAGGGTTTAGGGCTGTTGTACATCGGGTCGCTATGAGTCCCAAGCGACTCGACGGCACATAACAACAACAATGGGTTGTCACTGACACTATGACATTTAACCAAAACAACATACAAGTGTAATCACCAACCAGATCAAGATATAGAACACTTCCAGCTTCTCCAAGAGCCCCTTCATGCTTTGGAACAGTCAACCCCTCAGCCACATGATCTAGGAAATGAGAGATCTGAATTCTTTGACTCCTAGAACTTTATATAAATAGAACCATATGCTCTGCACACTTTTGTGCATAAGTTCTTTTCCTCAGTCACTATCAATAATAGCAGTGTGTGTAGTGGCACTTTTATCACTGATTTTCCCTTCAGCATGTCAGATAATTTAAATCCCTTACCATATTTTATTTTTAAGTTTTCTTTATCTCTTTTTACCAGATGACTGAATTTGTTTTGATAGAGTTAATACCTTTGTAGGTGAAGAGGTTAGAAATCTAAAATCAAAACATGATGTTGTTAAAAACAAGATTTTAGACCATTGGCTTCATGACTTAACAAAAATAAACATGACTTCTGCTATCAGATTTAAACCACACTTTCCCTATCTTACCACATGCTTTAGACCTTCTTATGGCACTTCTGTCAGAGTTCTTGCTGCAGCTTGAACTGTAAAAGCTGCAATAGATATGTGTTTCTTTACTTCTGTCCACGCTGAATTAGAGTCTGCTTTATTTTCAATATCAAACATAGCATCATATATCCCAGGAAATGATTCTCCAGCATATTTATTGTGACTACTTGGAGCAAAGATGACATGCCTATTAAAAAAGAGCAAAATTTTTTAAAAATCTTACAAAGCAGCTTAAGCTAAAGGAATAGAAATATTAATGCATTTTGTATGCTTTCAGTGTTGTCATATCCTCATATTAGAATATACATATACCTATTTTTTTTACTACACTGAAGACATAAGTATTTGATGTAAGATACTGCAAAAGAATAAGCAGGAGAGGAAAGCTAACAATTTAACAGTGTGCATTGGCTATGCCACGTCTCCACATCAAATGAATTATATGTCATGCTGCTAACCTAAACGTATGGAAGAATATAGATTTCTTTCACTAGCTGTACATAGTAGTCATCTGGCTAAGGAGCCACAAACACAGTGATGTATATTTTGTGGATACTTTTAATAAAAGAAGATAGGATTATTTTTATTGTCTTTGTGTTACCTTTTATAGATTCGACAAAAATGAAAATTTGCTTCTAAATATTTTCAGACATTAAAAAACAAAAAACCCCATAACCCACTTTACCAAAAGTAGTCCCCCCAAGATCATCTTAAATTCAAACAGCAGTTTGGCTTAACCAGTTAAAAAAATCTCCTTTAAAGATTGTGCTTTTAAAAATTTATAAGGGATGAAACTGACAACTGCAACTTTAAGACTGAATAGGAAGTTTAGGGGCAATGAGTTTAGATTAATGAATGAGGAACAAATCTGAAAGGAATGTTACCAGTTTCTGAATTTTGCATACAGTTACTGGATTTTGCATACAGAAACTGTTGAATTGTGTATGTACATATATATTCAGTAACTTTTTAAAAATTTTATTTATAATTTTGTGTACTGTCAAATTGGATCTGACTTGGCACAGGAGGAACGTGCCCCTCCTTCTCCAGCGGAGCATCTGGTGGATTCAAACCGTGCACCTTCAAGATTGTCGTGCAGCTTCTTGAGGTAACATTTATTTTAAAAAGTATGTATCTGTGTTTCACTGATTATGTAAAGGCATTTGACTGTGTGGATCACTACCAACAGTGGCTTACTCTGAAAAGAATAGGAATCCCAGAACACTTGATCATGCTAATACAACATCTATAGTTGGACCAGGAGGCAGTCATCAGAACAGAGCAAGGAAACACTGCATGGTTCAAAATTGAGAAGGGGGTATGCCAGGGATGTGTCCTATCTCCATACCCTTTCAATCTATATGAGGAATGGGTTCTATGAGGAGAAATGTGGCATCAAGATTGGAGAAAGACTCTTTCACAATCTGCATTATGCAGATGACACAACCCTGCTTGCTGAAATTGAAGAGGACCTGAAGAGAGCTTGCTGCAGAAGGTCAAGGACTGCCACCTTCATTCTGTTTGAAGCTCAACATCAAGAAAACAAAGATTCTCACCAGTGGGCCAATTGGCAGTATCAGTATGGATGGTAAAGAGATTGAGGTAGTTAACAGTTTTAATTTGCTTAGTTCTACAGTCAACACTCTTGGTAACAGCAGCCAGGAAATCAAGAGATGAATTGCATTGGGAAAGTCAGCTGTCAGGGACTTCTCCAGAGTACTGAAAAGCAACATCAGGCTGGAGACTAAGGTGCACTTCATCTGGGCCATAGACTTCACAACTGTGTGCTATGAGTCAGACAGTGATAGAATGATAGAACGAGAATTGATGCCTTTGAAATGTGATGCTGGAGAAGAGTGTTGAATATACCATGGACTGCTAGGAGAACAAACAGCTTTGTCCTGGAGAGGGAGAAACTGAGTTGCTTCTTGGGAGACAAGGATTCTGAAGCTTCATCTGACATACTTTAGACATGTTGCAAGGAGGGACCAGTCCTTGGAGAGGGACATCATGTTTCGGAGAGTGGAGAGACAGTGCAGGAAAGGAAAACCCTCGATGAGATGGATTGATTCAGTGATTGAGGTAATGGGAGTAGGTGTATCAGAAACAGTGAGGTTGGCATGGGATAGAGCAGAGTTTAGGGCTCTTGTACTTAGGGTCGCTATGAGTTGCAAGCAACTCGATGGCGCATAACAACAAAAACATGACATGAATTATATTGCTCTATAATTTCCAATTCTATTGGATCTTTTTAAAAATGTACACAATATGGATCTCTTCCAGTCAGATTCCTTAGTGTGGATTAGTGTGTACCTTAAGGGCTGAATCTATTTGCTTAAACACCTCAGTTGATATTCTATCAGTTTCTTTGGCCTTAATTTTTGCCAATGCCTTCATTTCACCTTGGACTTCTTTCAGCACCAATGATTATTTAGTATATGCTATTTTCTGAAATAATTCAATTATTTTTTGTACTGTTAATCTGTATATATTTCCATCTTTTTTTCCCTTTAATTTTCCCTGCACATGTTTTGCCCATAGAATTCAGTGTTAGAACTCATGGCTTTAATTTTTTTTCTTAGGATTTTCAGTTTGAGAAATGCGGAGCATGTCCTTCTCTTTTGATTTTCTAACTCCAAGATTTCTTGGTCTTCCCAAGACTGCCCTTTGAAATATATTAAGCTCTTTTACTTCTTTTGCTTTTGCTTCTCTACATTCAAGAGTAAGTTTCAGAGTCTATTTTGACTTTGATTTTGATCTTTTTCTCTCTTGTTATTTAATGACATTTTCCTTTCTTCACGGGTGATGTCCTTATTGACTTTTCACAACTTGTCTGGTCTTTAGTCATTATTGTCCAATGCATCAAACCTATGCTAGAGATAGTTTCTAAATCCAGATAGGATAAACTCAAGGTCCTATTTTCATTTTCTTAACCTTAATTTTAACTTACATAGAAATAATTCATAGTCTGTTCCACAGCTGGCCCATGGTTTTGTTCTAAATGAATATTATCATATAAGAATAGAAATGATAATCTGCTCCACAGCCTGGCCCTGGCTTTCTTCTGATTGATGACACTGAGCTTCTCAACCACTTCTTTCCACAGAGCTATGTAGTCAATTTGATTGCTGTATATTCAATCAGGTGAGGTCCGTGTGTATAGTTGACATTTATGTTTTTTAAAAAGGTATTTCATTGAATAAATCAAAGGTTCTATAATCTTCTATTATGTGATCTCTGGCCTCATTACTATCACCAAAACTGTATTTTCTTGATATTAGTCCTTCCTTGTTATGATTGCTTCAGTTAATTACTAGAAACTAAAAAAAAATCATGCCTGTAGAAATTAATATCAAATATATATTTTATTCTAGAATAGACATTTACTTTGTTGCTGTTAGGTGATCTCAATTTGATTTTTACTTACAGGGAACTCATGTGACAGAGTAGAACTTTCCAGAGGGTTTTCTTTCTGGAGGTTTTTTCCAAAGGATAATATACCATGTCTTTCTGTTTGCAGTTCAAATTGTGGCCAATGCTTAGATTAGCATTTGTGTACTTAATCATTATTCCACCAGTGTTCCTTGAATATTTGCTGTTCTATGCGCTGTTGAGTTGGAATCTACTCATAGATGACCCTCCAGTGAGTTTTCCAAGGCTGTATATCTTACAGGAAAAGACTGTCCATTTTTCTCCATTGGAACAACGGATCAATTTGAACCTGCCTTTGGATTAGAAATGCAACTCCTTATCATTAGACCACCAGGCTCCCTCCTTGATCCAAACTCAATGTCTCTGACACACTTGACTCAACTGCCTCAATTACTTTGTCAATCCACCTCATCCAAGATCTTCCTCTTCTGTGCTGACCCTCTATCCTTCCAAGCATGTTGCCCTTCTCCAAGGTCTTGTCCTCCTTGGCAACATACCCAAAGTATGTAAGATGGATCCTAAAAATCCTTAGCTCTGAGGACTAACCTGCTTTCGCCCTCTATGGAACAGACCTGTTTGTTTTCTCGGTATGTTAAGTATTTTCTCCAGCACTATAACTCAAAGGCATCGATTCTTCTTCTGTCATCATTAATCATTATCTGGCTCTTAGATACATAGCAAGCAATTGAGAAGACCGTGGCATGAGTCAGGCAAACCTTAGTCTCTAGACTGACATCATTGCTCCCCAGGGCTCTGGAGAGGTCAGCAGTTTTCCCAGTGCAACTTGTTTTTTTAATTTTCTGACTGCTGATGCTGAGAGTGTTGATTATGGATCCCAGCAAGATGAAATTTGAATCTTTTCTCCATCTACTAGGATACTGCAAATTGGTCTGGTAGTGAGGATTTTTGTTTTCTTGATGTTGAGAGGCAATTAATATTGAAAGCTGCAGTCCTTGACCTTCTGCAGCAAATGTTTCAATTCTTCCTCAGTTTCAGAGGACAAGGTTTTGTCATCTGTATGGTAGAAGTTGTTGATAAATCTTTCTCTATTCCTAATGCCACATTCTTCATAAAGCTGAACTTCCCAGATGATCAATTCCTCAGATAGATTGAAAAGGTATGGAGAAAGGATACATCCATAACACACTATTTCTTTGATTTGGAACGATGCATTGTTCCCTTGCTGTATTTGTAAATAGCTTCTTGGACTAAGCACAGGTTTTGCAAGAGCACAATCAAGTATTCTAGGTTCCAATTCTTCTCAAGGTTAGCTACAATTTGTTGTGATCCACATACTATGCCTTTGCATAAAAGATAAAACACAAATAGACATTCTTCTGTTACTCTCTGCTTTCAGCCAAGATTCATCTGACCTAGGCAATGATGTCCCTAGTGTCAACACTTGATTGTGTTTATGTGAAACCTATACTTGGACCAGGAGACAGTAATCAGAACAGTGCAAGGAAACACATGGTTCAAAATTGGAAAGGGTGTATCTTTACAATCTATATGCTGAACAGATCATCTTAGAGGCTGGGCTCTTTGAGGAGAAGTGTGGCATTAGGATTTGAGGAAGACTCATCAACAATCTGCATTATGCAGATGACACCACCCTGCTTGCTGGAACTGAGGAGAACCTGGAGAACATGTTGCAGAAGGTCAACGATTGCAGCCTTCAAAATGGATTGAAGCTCAACATCAAGAAAACAAAGATTCTCACCACTGAGCCAAATGGCTGCATCATCATAGATGGTG